CACGCACGGAAAAAAGTGAGAAAAGCATTTTTGTTTTTTTTTATCCAATAGCGGACTTTTAAGCCGCGACATATAAGGACGATGCGTGGTGGAGGAAAACTTCCTTCCTTTCTCTCGCGGAACGACTCGATGCCGGTCAGTGTACACACGTTACCGCACATACATACATAACACGCGTCCTGCGTTAGTCGGCGTTTTAGCATCGCGATCTCATCCGGCGAGAAATCGCCGAATGGAAAATGTGATGTGCGTATTGTACGAACACGTACGTACGCACGCATGCGCAACTTGAATCGTAAAAATGCAATGTATTTGCTAATTGATATACGCGAAGATACTGATCGAAAATCCTTTCATGTGGCTGTGCCGGTCTCTCGCATCAATGAAATCGTTTATCTAATCGTTTCGCGCAAATCACGTTTCAATAAAGCTATTCTATTGGCAAATAATATCCGCGACCATCGCGCAGCACGGGATTTACGTACGCGCAAATTTCACATCACGTGTTTTTTTTTTTTTTTTCTAAACTCCAAAGCGCGCGATTTTAAAGATCATTACGTTCGTTTTTGTTCAAAATTGTATCTTTCAGTTTCATTAAATCACGCACACGGTCTTTCATTTTTATAATATTCAAACAGAGCTAAAAATTGGAACGTTCGTAGAAAATATATTCGTAAATTTTTTTAGCTCGTTCAAATTAGTTCTCGGAGAAAGTGTTCCAGAACACGAATAAATCAATTTGTATGGCTCTTATGAGACACGCTGCGTTAAATTAGCGATACGATCGCGCCGTGACTGTTCCTTTAAATTACTCGAGTACTTAGGGCACTTGTGTGACTAAGTATGCCACAAGAAGAAGAAGAAGAAGAAGAAGAAGAAGAAGAAGAATGACACATCGTCATCCGTAAAAAAAGAACGCACACGCGTGTGTGTCACGACGCGGTGTAACGCGTATTGTCTTATTATTGAGAGCAATCGTACGTAACACGTCACACTTGGTCATCATCACGCTTTCGTCAGCCTTCGTGCGACACGTCAAGTAACGACAACGTAATCGTCTAAAAGCGCATCACGAAAAGGCCCGTTTAAACACGAATCCAGCCCGGTCGAAACCTCCGTACGATGTGCATATATGTATAACTCTACACAGTTGACCTACATTCGGTGATCGCTGCAGCACCACCTTAGTGTCCTTTATCGTGCGCACGGACGTCCTGAGCGAACAGCTATGCGGCTTCAAATCAGCCGGCACAAATTGCGGTGTCGCTTTTCTGCTAATACAAATAGCTCCGCAATACGAAAAGCGACACGCAACCCTGCAGCCTCTCGACGAAGTTCTTCTTTGTAAGACCGCACAAAAAAAAAAATTCGCTATTATACGGTTAGCGAAAGAAAAATTTGCTAAGCCCACAGAATTATTTCTGCGAGCCAACGAAATCTTCTATTGGCAAAAAATTCAAATTTTTTCTTGCCGGCTATATATGGTAACTAATCTTCTGCTATTAAAAAACAAAACTTTTTTTTCTGTATAGAGTTGTGAAACAGATTTTAATTTCGGCGAGTAATAACGGAAAAACGTGTTTGCAGGTCGTGGCATAAATTCGATGCCTCGGAATTTTTTAATCGTAGACGCGCGCAGGTCACTGATATCAAAAGATACCCGTGATAAAAAGCAGTGAGTTTGTTTTACATCGAGAGAGCACGCAATCTCTAGTGGCCGGCAATCTTTTAAGCCCAGCGTCCCGATCAATTAATCAATTCGCTATCTAACAATGTGAGTCAGCGCGAGCGTAATTCGACGGAAACGTATTTTTATTTACAATCGCGTTCTCGCTTTCCGGATCTCTCTCTCTCTTTTTCTCTCTCTTTCTCTCAACGGGATTGGTTAACCGTGGCCTCGAGACATTGTTCAAGGTTCGTTGGCGAGGGTCCATGGTGAAATTGTGACGCAATCACCGAGTTCGGAACACGCACATAAGAACAGCGGCTAAAGAGCGTATACTGGATGTTAGATCGATTGTAACAAGATTCTCGATCTCGAGTCTACGCACGTGATGCGTAAGACAATTTTACTGATGCAGATTTCACGGAATCTCGATAAGCGATAATCGCCGCGACGATCGCTTTACACGTCGCGTTATCGTTGGCCTGGTGTATCAGTGAAATTTAATATGTCACCTTTCAACTCTAATGCGATAAGATATAAATGTGTAATAATCGCAAACTTTTTTCTCGGCATAAATTATTATTAACTGAAAATCAAATCATAAGATCTACACAGTACAGTTTATATTAGGAACAAAATTGTTGATATAAAATAAAAAATTAATTAACGTCACAATGTCTGAGTGTAAAATTTGTACTCTTGGAATATAATTGCGTTAAAAAAAAAATCATTCGAATAAAATTAAGTCAAGGATTTTCTTGTTTGCGATAACGATCAATGTTTGATTTGTTTACCGATATACGTATCGATTTTTTTTTTTAGATTTGATAAAGAGTATAACGATAGACATACACGTATATGTACATATACATGTTGTGAATCGAGACGTCAAAGAAGTATCATAGCGTATGACGTCACATCAGATGAAATAAAATAGTTTAGCAACGATTTATATTCTCGCCACGTTGCTCGTCGTGAGAAAAAGCGACTCACGTTACTACGGTAACTTATGCTCTTCTCGAGATACACGTGCCGTGTGCCGTCAGAGCTCCACCTTCTTAAGCTACTACAAATTCTCGTAAATACGTGTGTATATATATATATAGACACGTGTGTGACATCATTCCGGCAGACGTGAAAGAAAAACAGCGAAGTAGAAAATATTTTACTTTTGGCATCCGAATAAAATATGCATCTATGCAGGCGCAGGTGTACATGCCTCCAGGGAGAAAGAGAGAGAGAGAGAGATGAATACAAACGTATGCCGAAGTCAAGAAGACGAAGTAAAAGAGAGCTATAGGTCAAGGAAAACTTTTTTTCGTAAAGTTAACATAAGAAACTTAAACAAGAGGTAAAATTATTTATTACTTTACAGCTTCTTCCAAGCAATGTCGCAACTGGTTTCTCATCCTTGAGCGAGAAACTTACCTTGTCCGAAACTCTCTTGTGTTCGGATTGTCTCTCCGTTACCTGACTACTACCTCGGCTCTCCGTTGTACGTAACTAGTCGTCTTAACGACGTAATCAAAGCGAACAGTTCGGAGCGAGACTGTAATTAACGAAGCGGCTTGATTGTCCGAGCGGTCATTTCGAAATTGCGCGCACTGATTCGACTTGAAGGAGAAGGAAGAAAGATCCTTTTCCTTAGAGTTCCCTACGAGAAGTGTGTTCGGGATTTCCGGAACCGTGAACCCGCGGTGCACGTGCACCTACCACTCCTCTCTGCCTACTTGCTGCTACACCTTCGCAACAGCCTACGTCCTAGAGTAACCGTGACCTTTCGGCCGCAACAATCGGCCGGCTAACCGCGGCTCGTCTTAATAGTCACTTTGCATGTGCTGCCACAGCCGCACTCAACATATAACGATCCGCGACAAAAGCATTCGGTTTTTCTCGGGTGTATCCCCGAGAGCAAGTAAAGATCTCTGTCGCAATATTCGCGCGATCTGTGTAAGCGGACATTGACAAACGGCACTATTTTCGTCTCCACGTCTAAATACCCGATGAGATACGCTTTTTAACGTTGGTATTTGATTTTATTGCGAAATAATACCGGTTCGTGACAAATCTGTCACGTGAGATTCCGCGTGTGTTTTCGTATATACGTGCGAGGAATCCGAAAATAAACTCGGAAAAGATTTTCCATCGCTCGCACAGTTTTTTTCGCGATGGATTTGCAACGTTTTCCCGGAGCTTTAAAGTCGCCAATTTAATTCCGATTTATTTTTACGATATTGACGTGTTAACATTGCAAATATTTTTTCATAAAAAGATTCGTTTAAGCGATGTATCTTATCGGAAGTTAATTCAATTAACGTAATTTACACATTTCTGTAAATATATTAAAGTTTCTCTGAATTTTTCGCAATTTCTTCAACCATCATATACGCAACTTTGAAAAATAATAGACAAGTTTTGTGACCAAGTCGTAGCAACGTACGTTGATTCGATATACACATTCGATATCCATTAAACTGCACCGGGTGCAACTGTATTAAACTTCCCCTCTCGCATTTCACTCACGCAATAGAAATTGAGGATTGACACACAGCGAGACACAGTAGAACGTGAGCCCGTACATGCTATTAGATGCCATGTAATACATACGACGGCTATTATTTGCGATAATGCTACCTACTGTTCCTGTCTCGTGGTCAAAAATACATCACGTATGTATGTACGTTGGTTTGTGATGAACCAATGCACACACATCATGCAGCACTCAACTTTAAAAACTTCAACATTATTGCGTGAAACAGCAAATTTCTAAACGACGCAAATAAAATAAACATCCAATACAAGCCGGAGATGACTGACAATTAATAAAATATAATTTACTTTTAAATAAACGCACATAAAATATACGTAAAAATCCAAAATCAAAAAGGTGTGAAAATATGTTAAATTTCAGTGTCGTCCGAAATACGATGTAAAGTATAAATAAAATTCAAACAGAGATTCAATGTGACTTCCTGTGTTTTGTTCATTAAAAGTGAAAAGAAACATTTGGAAGCATTATCGTTTTTCTGACAGGATTTCCTCTCTACTTGTATCTTTAGGTAAAAAAAAATATATAAAAAAACATCCAAAAAATTTTCAAGACACTGTAGAAAAGTTCGGTTTAAATTTCTTTTCTCACATCATAACTATAATTAAAGATACATTCAATCAAACCGAGTTTTCAGATCGCGAAACGAGTTCTCTATTTGACTCTATAACACATGCGGACGAGTGACGAGATATCTCGTCATAAGATAAAATTTCCGCAATGTGTTAAATCCCACATTCGCGATTTCGATTGCTTCAATTAGAAAAAAAGTTTCATCAATCCTACCTTTCCGGCGCGTGGCAGTGTCTCCACGTTGGTGCCGCCGACGACGGGTGCCTTTTCTGGTCCACCGTTTTGCTGGCTGACGTTTATGTTAGCGTTGACATTGTTGACGTTGTCGGTGACGTTCGTATTCATGTTTGCTCCGCTAGTAACGTCGCCGGTGCCGCCACCGCGCTTTCCGTCCTCGCCCGTCATCCTTCGGCCGCTCTTCTGTCGATTCACACCCTCTCGTCTTGTCTCACACTCTCTCGCTCCCCCGTAGCCGCCGTCCTCGCCTGTTCTCCTCCCCCGTCCCGTTGATACTTCCGCTTGTTAAATCCCAACCTCGGTCCACGGTTAGAAATCCCGATATCTGACGGTTGATCGAGTCTATCAGAGAGGATCAGGTCAAAAACGCGACGGCGATAACAAACATTTGATTGCAATAACGTGCAATTTATATTTCGATCTTACGGCGGAGGATTTTGTTGTTCAAAGCACGAATTATGTGTTTTTGTTTTCAACTATTAACATACGAATCTCTAAAATCATATCGTCATAGAAGAAGTTATCAAGTACGAATCGTGTCTGTCTGAAATTTGTTTTAGATAATGATTGTATAATAAAATTAAATATCTATATTAGTTTTACAAACAAAAATCTAATTGCAAACTTAATCTATCACGTGACTGAAAAATTAACGATTTTTACGAAGATACACACGCGATGTACATAATAAAATCAAATATATCAAGAACGCAACTACGGACTTTCATCAAACACACAACCATGGCCGAATTACTTTGCTTGTTTCTTGAGGAACGCTATTTTTAGTCTCTACTAAACGATACGGGTGGTATAACCGTACATGATGGAACGAGATCCAGGCACACATTGTGTGCGAGCGAGCACCGTTCGCGTACTATTTTGTCAAGGGAAAAAATTTCGACGCAGCAAATTTTTTCGAGCTACAATCTCGTCGCTGACGAAGATTCGAAACGTTTTCGCGAAGGTTTTAAATATTTACCGTAACAGTAATCTCACGATCGAGCAGGTCCAAGTGTTTTTGGGCGGGAACAACCTTTGGCCGGGATCGCGAATACTCCGATAAAGCACGAAACGACGTGCGTTTACGGGGAACGTACGTTGCGCACCGACGATAACGGCGGCGACCCGCACATTGTTGCGCGATCACGTATATTATTTATACCGGAGATAATTGCGTTGTCGCAAACACAAGAGAGAGACTTCTTGATGATGACTTGCGTGAAGAAGAACTCTAGGAAATCGCGAGAGAGCGTAAGTCCCGCACACGGTCGACGCGGTGGAGGCACAGGGAAAATCGATTCCGAGCGTGTCCGTTCTGCGCGCCTCTCCGAGAGCCGCAGCGATAAAAGTGGCCGCGCGCGATCGTTCTGGGTTTACGACTGAATATCCCGAAGACCAGTTTCTCAGCATCCACTCCGAGGAGCGTACCTTTGAAATTTAAAATTTATAAGCCTCTGCTGCGCTCCCTTTAAATTGCCAATGTTGTTGTTTTTTTTTATCATACTGTCAATTGAAAACTTAAAAGCAGTTCTCCGAACAAATTTTGACATTAATTGTTAAATAAATTAATGAAAGATAAAACAAAAAAAAGAATTTCTATGATCGCAACTTTTTGCAATTTGTTGTAAATTCGTCATTGAAAAAATGATTTTACGAACATCTACCTTGAACTTATGCGGAATAAATTGCCTCGGTCATTTAAGGATGCTGCGAGTCGATCTCGAACAAAACCGGATCGAGCGCGATCTCTCTCAGCGGGAAAACCGGTGGATAATATGTAACAAAATGACAGCCGCATCCCGCGCGAGCGTTCCACGACGGCTAAACCGGGATTCCGCTCGCAATTATACGCACACACATATACGCGTACACACATATAAGCGTTATATCGTACGTATATGTGCACGTCGGTGCGGCGTCGACGGCGCCGGGTCTGGCTTCTCTGATGCGGTAACGTTTCGCGATGCGATCGATCTCTCGAACCCTTTTTCCCGCACTTCGGCCGAGTTTTGTCGCTGTTCGATGACGCGCGGCGCCTCGATTCCCCACGATTATCGAACGATCACGCGTCGAACGCTACTCCGAGTACGCGCAGCGAAAAAAAATGCGGCAGCAAGGAAGCAAGAAAACGAGAGACAGACGAGAAAAAGAGAAAAGGGAGAAGAAGAAGAGAGAAAAAAAGAGAACAAGACAGGTCGCGCACTAACCAGTGAGGAGGCTACGGTACGTAGCGGGGTTGCGGTGGATACCTTCTCCGAGTCCCACTACTCTGGTGCGTGTATCAACCACCGCGCGGTTATTTAACGAAACACTTCTCCCATCGGGCGATTCTCTTCGTTTCCACTTGTCAAATCACACAATAGCGCGCCGTCATGTTTCCCATCACGTCGTTCTTCTTCTTCGTGTTCTCCTCGCCTCTTCACATTAACCGGTTGTGCGCGACACATATACAACTACCTCAAAAACTACGGAGTCGCGTACCAAGAAAGTACGAAACGCGTAACACGGCCGCCCTCCCGGATACTCTGCGCAACGACGTCGGAGAGTCAGTTCGAGAGAAGGAGTTTTTTTCCCCCACCCACAGTTCCCCACCGCGAATGCGCGCGCAATGGCGAATTCGCGAACGAAAGTAACAGCCGTCGCATCATCTACAGCCGATAAGAACGAAATCGTCGGTCACGTGAATTTCTATAGTTGAACGTATCTCCGCTTGGATGCGCTAATATCGCATAGAAATTTATACATACAAAACTTACTTGTCATAAAACGTCGTATTCACAGTCGGATCTTCTATTTGAGATGAAATTTAAGGTTCATCTTCAGACGTTCCGCAAAGCGATGAAACGGTCTGTGTGATGTAGGTTTGCGATCTTATACGATTACGATTAAAATTTCGTTTTGTGCAAAGATGCAAATCTGAACGCACACAATATAACCGCGTTCACATGAAGGAATGCACTAATCAAAGTATCACATTTTCATATCCAGGCTAGAAGAGAGGACACTCTGATTGGTTTATTCTATTGGGGCTTTAAAGACGCGCGTAAAGCCCCTTGCACAATGGAAGGAATAGCGATAGCGATAGAAATAACACAGTTTTTAACACAGAATTCCAACTCGTCGGAAATTTTATCGCTATTGCTTATTCCGATTTTCTGATCTGCATTGATACATGTGTAGTTTTGTATGTTAGATTCCGCTGTTCCTACCTTTATTTTTAAATATAAACTCTTTAAAGCCCTTTGCACAATGGACGGAATAGCGATAGCGATAGAAATAACAAAAGTTTAAAAGAGTTTATATTTAAAAATAAAGGTAGGAACAGCGGAATCTAACGTACAAAATTACACATGTATCAATGCAGATCAGAAAATCGGAATAAGCAATAGCGATAAAATTTCCGACGAGTTGGAATTCTGTGTTAAAAACTGTATTATTTCTATCGCTATCGCTATTCCTTTCATTGTGCAAGGGGCTTAAAACTTTTGTTATTTCTATCGCTATCGCTATTCCGTCCATTGTATGTACAAGAGGCTTAACACGTTGTTGTGCCAAATGTAGGACCACGTCTACATTTGGACATAGCGTGCGTATCGACAAGTCGCTCGTGGACATCGCTACGTAGTTGCCAATGTATACCACTCGTGGACATGCGCTAGCTTACGGAACGGAAAAGCTCTATCGGAATGGACCTGGCCGCTCTCATTTTTCTCTCTGCGATTATACACGTTCTCTTATAGACCTGGCCGCTCTCAGTCTTCTCTCTGGTCAAACAGAAAACGTCGCGTACCGAGCTGGATAATATAGGCAGCGTCATGAAAACGTCTATATCATCAGCTCAATGAGCAACGATATTTGACTTACATTTGTACTATTGCTTGTGTTTTTGCACATGTAAATAGTGTAAAAAAAATCTTTTCATCCAAACCTTTTGTCCGCTCTTTTATAAAGTTTGCAAAATTTTTTAACTAACCGTCTGATTGTCAGAAAACTATCGACGGAGATAAGAAACTTTTGTCAGACATCAGAGAGGGCACTGGCTGAGATTCCGAATCAATCTGCACTCTCGCGGAAAATAGCGGGAAGTAAATATTCGTCTTGAAGCGCGCAATGACAGAAACAAATCAAAATCGCAGTGCCGCGTCGCGGAAGACAATTTTTTTTTTTTTTTTCTGGTACGATTATTTATTGATCAAAATCGTAAATGTCCATGAGAGTTTACTCAATAAACAACCAAATTGCGTGTGTTCTCCCTTTCCGCGCACAATAACCATGTTGCGATCACGAATCGCGTCTTTTCTGAGACACGACACTCGTCTTCGTACCTTCGTCTACGCACTTACCAATAACCTTTACACATCGCCGCAAATTTCTGCCGGGAAAAATAAATCAAAACGAAATAAAAATTCTCAAGTTATTCCCGTAGCTGTAGTAAGTTATCAAATATAACATTGTAACAATAATACGTTAGCGTGGGTAAATTCTAGCAAATACGCGAATAGAAGAAAAAAATTGCGCAAAGTTTATCTGCGCGAAGAAAGTAACAAAAACTGTTGTTAATTGCAAATTACCGCGAGAGAAACGGTTGATAGCAATTTATCCTTGAAAAGATAGATACGGTTATTTATTACATGTTTCCACGAATTCATGACCTTCTTTTCCTACGCGTGTATTTTATGTATACTCAATTTAAATTATCAGATACGAATTCACAGGTGTTTCGCGTTACTTGGCTGGTGTTTAACAAACCTAGAATTTTAGATCCTGTGCGGATGTGGCCGACTCGACGGTACTGAAATTTCGGAAGCCATTTCGGCGGCCATAAACTTGCGCCAGAACAATATGAAGCCGGAATTTTACGCGCCGGACATTGAATACCCTTCCGTTGATCATCTCGCCAAAAAACCGGATGCCACCTGTCCGAAGAGAAATGCTCTCGTTGAAGGCGCCAGATTAGCGAGAACGTGCTGCAAACCTTTGTGCGAATGCGAAGCTTGTACACACGGCGGTCTTCTCATACCAGGAGGATTTGGCGCCGCGCGCACTTTGTAAGTGTTTGCAACAATCTATTTTTTATGTCTAAATTTGATGTCTAAACTCTTCGTTGACAACGACTGGGTCACTTAATAAATATTAAAAAAAAAGTACAAAAAATATATTTAGTGCATACGCGGAACATTTTGATTATTCGGTAGAATCAGAAGTGACCCAGACACGGAAGGGTACGACGTTTTTTCCTCCGAGAGGATTAAGACAAAAATTTAACTCTGTTCTATTTCTCGCTTTCTATAAAGGAGCAATTTTATTGAGAAAGGTGCTCAGTGCACCGTTCTGCCCGATTTACAGCACCTTATCGAGGACTTTTACTGCGAGAAAAAACCAATCGGTTCGATGTGCATTGCCAGCGCAATTGTTGCCAGGGTGTTGAAAGGCGTGACGGTTACGCTTGGCAAAGATTGTGAGTCACTTGAGTTGAGTCTCTTCGTTGTTTAACCCTTTCTTTTTCCCTAACATAAAAAAAAAAAAAAAAAATAAATACTTCTGCAGCACCTAAGGAACGGTGGCCACACGGCCAATTCATGAAAAGGATCAAGGAAATGGGTGCTAAGCTAGAAATGAAAGATGTTACCGAAATAGCGGTGGACAAAGATTACAAAGTTATTAGCACGCCAGCCTGGTTATGCGAACAAGCTACTTACGCGGAAGTTCACGAAGGTATTGGCAACCTTGTCAAGATGTTGAAGAAATGTATGAATCACTGATACGTCGGCTACTGTCTCTGGAAATTATTGAAATGAACAACGCTCTTTGTTGTTGCCATTTTTCACGTTTGTACTTTTTTTATATTTATCTATTTACGTGCTTTCGACAGACAAAGTCTGTTATTTTTTTTTTTTTTGCACCAACTTGTGTAATTAAAGTGCTTTCGCAATTTTATATTGCACGTACTGTATATGCGCGCGATTTTTTGTTTTAAAAATATTTAAAAAATAATACACATATTGTGTACTCATTTTTACAAATACGCATTTCTTTTAACACGGGATTAACATGGATGAGAGCGGGGTCAGGAGTGTTATTTGTCGAAAAATATAGTTTATTCAATTTTTTTTTTATCACGCCTTTTTTCAAAGCGACGTGAGAGACGATCGGGACACGCTTTTCGAATATGGTTTTTATAGTAAGTTAATACACACGTAAGCCTAATGATACAGTTAAAGTAATCAACAACAAGTGAAACAACAAATCGAGATCTGCACCGAAAGATTAACAAGATTCCTTCGTCGATTTAGAGTTTCGTGGGGGATCTTGTTCGTTAGATAACGCGATGATATTTGCCACGAACTTCGTTTTGAGATGAAAATGAGGGGGAGAAGTCTTGGAAATTTCAGCGTTAATTATTATTATTCTTTCTCTTTGTTTCATTACGATTGCGAATGTGGCAAGAAATGTTCTCGAAGGAGATTTCCTTATTTTAGTCTTTCTTTTACGTCTACAATTTCGAAGCAGTCTTCTCTTCCAGACCGCAAGCATGACGGAAATTGTAATTAGCGAGTTTTCGTAATCAATAGCGAATGCAAAATGTACAGTCTTTAATGTAATTTCCTTAGACTTGGGTCTCTAATTAGATTCAAGAGTAGAATTTCGAAATGTTACGTACGCGTTTTACCGCAAATAGGTCATCAGCCACGCGTTTAGACATTTTTTCTAACGAATGCAACATTTGTCACATTTCGCTTTAGCTAAAGTTAAAAACTAAAGTAGTAAAAAACCGAATCGAGATATAAATTTATTTCTACGACATCGTATTTTTTGCGCACAAGTCAAACAAGTTTTTCTGCCGGACAAGTTTTTTGCAGATCTCTGTTCTTTTTTGTGTTTATATTTTCATCTTCTTTCGACACCTAAAAATAAAACCAAGGTCACTTGCCTTGGGAGAGAGAAGAAGAATTGCAACTAAAAAAAAGAACAGATCTCATATATATATGTATATTCTAAAATAAACATGTAATATATATCCTACGTGCCACGCTTACGCGTATTTTGTATAATTAAGATAACGAGGCCGCGCGCGCAAGCCTCGTGGAAATTCGTTTTTTTTTCTTTTGACCGAACGCGATTGTCGTTGAAAGAATTACTGATTCCGGAATCGTGACTTACTCGAGCGGAACGTTCGCGTACGAGCAAGTGAATTCAATCGACGCGTAAAAAGGTCTCCGTGAATAATCGCCGCTTATAGTTAGCTTTGCCGAACGCCTTGTCGAAACGAGAACTGTTCTCCTCCGAAAGGTGTAGAGAAAATACACATAGCGCTGCGGGAGGAATTTTCTAACCGAGTTCAATTATTTTACACAAAATTGTAAACAGCAATTATTCATCCAAGGTTTTTGCGATACTTTGGAATCTTAAGATCCAGTTATTTTATTAAAAATACTTATTTGGTTAAAATAGTTTTTATCGCTCAGAGGAAATGAAACTTTGTACGACGCTTATAAGTTAAAACCTACGAACCGGTGTTTTCACTCAAGCTCATAGTCCGTGTTTACGTACCACTGTCAGAATTCCAAGTCTAGGAATTGAATATTGCCGTTTTAACCGACGACGACGACGACGACACGCGTTTGTTAAATTTCGAAATACGATTCTCGGATCGTTGGATTTTTTCGGATTGTGATTGTTGATCGAGAAGTTCATGCGCGCGCGCGCACAATATTGTCCCGCAAATATGCGAAAGTGCGAGTCTCTTCTGTTTCTATTGCACGTTTTTCAGCACATTGCTCCTTCATTTTTACAGAGAGAGACGACGCTTTTCAGACTTTGGTTCTGATCTCGAGGCCAGATTCCGCGTTTTGGGAATAATAATTCCGTGTTTTGCGTTCGCGTTAGCGTACACTTTTTTTTAGATCTACACCAACCACAGCTCAGCTCAGGGCGAGCAACGGCTCGACCGACATGCGAGACCTTCTCGCTTTGTCGTCCTCGTACTGCTTTATCTTCATGAGCTTCCACTTGCCCTTGCTCTGCTTCTTCCTCGGCACTTCCGTGGTAGAGACCTCCTCCGCGTTGGACAGCTCCTCTTCCTCCAACATCCTGAGGGTCTCGATGATATTTCTGGGTTCCGTGACGCGTCCGGTAGCGCTACCGTTCTTGTTGGCGTACACTACGGACAGATGCGAGAAACTGGACTTGGGCGGCGCCGTGATGTCGGCGAAGTCGCGGAAGTTCGCGAAGAAATCGCCGCCGCGTATCGGCTGGGGCTTCGGATTTCTGTAATACTGCGAGCGGCCGCGACTGTGATAATACGGATTGTACAGACTTTCGTCCACCGAGTACTCGTCGCTGTCCTTGTCCTCCGGATAATAAGTGCCGCCGCGAATCACGCCGAAGTTGCCCGAACCCAGTAACGAGTGATGATCCTTCGTCGCGGCGGCTTGATAGTTGCCGCGGTCGCGTTGGAAGTAGCCCAGGAACCTGTTCGGACGGTATCGCTGCTGCTGTTCCGTGAACGGAAGTCGGTGATTCGCGAAGAGCTCCGCGAAGGACGGGAAGAAGTTCTGACTGTCGGTCTCCAGACTCTTGTCCTCCACATCAGCGAACTGCGTGACGGCGGTGTTGTGTTGAGTGTTCTTCGCCTCTAGGTCCTCCTTTGAGGTGTCAGGATTCTCGACTTCGGATGACTTCTCGCTGCTCTTGGTCGTGTTCTTCTCGTTGTTGCTCTCGATGGTGGCAATAGTCGACACCTCCGTCTGATTGTTCTCTCCCGTGCTCGCTTCTTCCGGTTGCGGAGTAGTTTCGACTTCGTCCGGTTCCATATACATGTCGGAATCGTCGTACTCCTCGCCTACCTCCGACGCGGACGCCACGGAATCCTACAAAGGGAAAAAGAAATTTCTCCAATTATATATATGCTGAAACCACGAACGCTGTCTCTCAAACAATAAATGCCAATACGGGCGGAGAAAGTCCGCCGTGGTAGTCCGCGCACGAACAGAAAAATATTTTACGAGCACTGCTGAGACTGCAGTACTCTCCTAAACAGACTGCCGGTAATACATGAACTTTCCTCGCGTGTTTTGTGCGCGCGGACACAACGTGCGGGGAATTTGTGTAACGAGCGGAACGGTCGATGGGCTTTTAAAACTAGGAAATCGATTTCGAACCACCGAGATTATCGACGATAATCGTACGAGAACACATAATAGAAAAGAATATTAAATCTTTTTGTTATATAATTTTCCAATATTGTTTCGTGGCGATCGAGAGAACCGTTTCTTCTACTTCCGTTTAACGTTCTTAATTGAACGTTACGCGACGAATCGGGATCGTTGGCGAAAACATCGAACAATCCGGCGAATTGATCCGGCGAATTGTGATTACTCGAGTCTGTGATAAAAAGGTTTCGATGATGACTGCGATGTGCGATATTAGTTTTCCTTTCGCGGGGTGCATCGAGCGAAGAGTGACGGCGGCCCACCGTGTCCTCGCCTTGACATTTAAGGAATCTTCGCGTATACCGGCAAGACTAGTTATACCACCGTAGGTACGTCATATACATTGACTCGTACTACGTTGGCGCGCCGCCGTTCGGAGTGTGCCACAATAGCGCGCGGTATACGCGTGTGCACACGCACATGCTCGCGCGGGCGCTTACGACGATGTAATGTAACGAACGAAGCGCACATAGATGACTGGTTGAAATCGGTTGCAACACGTCGGCGACACGCCTAGCATTGTTACGAATATGTCAGGTCAGCGTTCCGCCTTAGTGTAATACACTCCGCTCCCGTATCAAAGTCTGTCCCTACAAATCCGATACTAATCTTCTTACGTATGTCGAATCACAATTCGAACACGCTAGGAATACAATTTGAATTTAAAAGCGATGCTGAAATCTGTTCTATCTTTTTTTTGCTGCTCAAAGAAAAAACAAGCATCGCAAACGCTTTGAAGAAATCAGTGTAGATAAGCTCGCGTGTCAAAAATAAGATTAAGGCGATTGCGACCTAAATTACAGGCCACAAATTAAAAAAAAAAACTCTCTTTATTAAATAAGCGCATAATTTGCCGAAGAAGAAAAATATGGGCGCTTAAAGTCGCACGGCTGGAAATCAAATCGGCGGAGAAAAATCCGACAAGCACGAATAACACACAACGGCCTATCCGGATGTTGCGCGGACACGTGTGGATGTAGACAATAAATGCTACATGCGCCGAGCAATAAGCGTGATGGATGCCTCATCGCGGCTCGTAATGAGAAATGAAGGATGAACGGCGTTTTGCGCGAGATCCTACGCGCACGAAGAAGACTTTTGATCGTATCGGGCAACAAAGTAATGTGTCGCAGTAAATCAAACTCTGGGTGTGTAATTATTCGCCCGTTTCTACCTAATGCAATTAAGTCGGCGCTACCCATTCTTACACACCGAGGCAAATTGAAATACACACTACCTTCCCCCGCATCTCAGAAGATATTAAATTTCGCACTCGGACGCGCTTTCATTAAATCTCTATCGGCTCTCGTGAGAGATGTGCAACAATATAATTAAATATCCGTAATAACAGTAATAACAGCGCTAATGAATCATTATAATTTTAATTTGAAAATAAATTACTTGCGTGTGGTGCAACTGTTGTTCATTATAATTCAATAATTGCAATGCGTACGGTGTGTACACACAGATCCAAATACGATATCAAGAATATGCAAGTCTCTCTCCGTGCAATAATGTACAAAGTGCGTACGAATGATCGGAAACAATAGAAGCGGGAAATCAAAGGGAGACAGAGATAAAATCACCTATACCTGTATACAATCATATAATTAAACAAGAATATTATAATTTAACAAGAATTAAATATAGAAGGGAGAGAAGAAAAAAAAACAAACTGTAATTATGCAATTATAATACATAATTTAATCAACCCGGTTGATCGCGTCGGCTTGCAAGATGGCTGCTGTAAATGAAGTAGCGCATTAGCATTCTGACTTTTAATTTCCTCTCTCAGATACAGATCTGAATGTATCTAACATTCGAACACACACAAACGCGCGCACTCGTTAAACTTCTGTCATTAAAAAAATGTTACTCGTAATTTTGTTGAATAACCAACTGTAATGTATGCGCGTCAGCGCGCGCTATTCCATTTCACATATTTGAATAAAATCGATGAAATAAGACCGACAGAATTAATACCGCGCGCGTCAGTTGGGATTATACGTTGTGTGTTTTGTTAGATAATACCGTCAGGGAAAAAGATACGTGTACCTGTAAGTAAGCAAAACCAAATATGTACTCTTAGGACAAGCGTACCCAACATATCAGATATCATGCTCGATTAGCGACAAACAAGAAAGAGCGGGAGAAGGACACAGAAAGACACATTTTATAACCGTTACACACAATTACGGTGCGTAATTAGTTCCGCAACATGCACACTTGACGGACACACTATGCTAAGTGATTGTGAATTCGAGAATTATGGCGTTACTGATAAACCAGCGCGCGCGCACTATTTGAAACCAGAAAGTTCTTACAGCGCCGCCGTTCTCTCGCTTGATCCCACATACGTATTATCTCCTTCGCCGCGTTTGTCTCGCGACTTTATGTTTTTTATTACTATCCAACACAGAGAAGGAAGCGGCATGAAAGGCTCTCAATATCCTTCGTAACGATCGACGGGATGAACTGACAACGAGAAAAAAGAAAGAGAAACGACACGCTATTATTACGCGATTACAGAACGCAAATTAGAGTCTCTCGCAATGAGTTTTTCACGTGCTAGAATAAAGTTTGCACGCGCACGTGTGTGTTGCGGGATCGACGTTCGATGATTATTATCTCTCAAACGCGTGTCGATGTGTTGTGTACACGCGCTATCCAATTAGCCGCGGCATCTTCTCCGTCTCTTTTTCGATGATATGAATTATATGTGAATTAGAGGCAATCAGCTGACGAGAGAGGTCGCACGATGTGAATAATACGTTCGTTCGTAGACCGAATCGTCTTACCCTTCGTCAAAGAAACCTTATGTGAAGCGTTTTATTATGGAAGCACGCACACACGCTGTTGTGACACGCGAAAGTCACAACGACGGCGCAGAAAATCCCGGAGCGAAATCGCTCAGACCGCGATCGATCGTGAAAGACAAGGACTTGTAATTTTATTGCGCTTCTTTGATTCGTCAGTTCAATCCTGTCGTATATCTCTTTTTTCCTCGTTAAGGATTACTTAAATTCAGATCGGTTCGCAGGAAAAACTAACGTTATTGGAATTTAATGGCCAGAACACATTTGTCATTAAATTATCAAGTAACAATTCTACTGTTGAAAATAATTACGAGTGTAATAGATAATAATAATGAAATACGGAACACAAAAAATACGGAATGTGTGTACTGCGAACAAAGAGAAAATTCATTTCACTTTATCTGGCGAAAACGCTTTGAAATTACAAACTTATCAAACTCTATGTATGTAAAAATGTACATATTACGCATGACATGCATATTTATATTACGCGCGTCACGGTGTAGAAATCAATTGATTTACACATTTTTTTTTTTAATCCCGGTTCTTATCGCGTCGTTAAAACATTACGGTTCACCGTTGACGATTGCTCGTGTTTGTGCTGTCGCGGGGTATGTGATTTACATTTACGGTACACGTCGCGATATGATCTTCAGCTGAGATATATAATTGCACGTGTGATTTACCACGCGTCACTCTTGCACAATCTAAATTAACTGCTGTTAAATTATTTTTACATTACAACGAAATATTTTTGCGTTCATTTAAAATTAATTTCCGACGCTATACGCGCGGCTGATCGTCGCGCAAGGACATTTTGCACAATACATACGTCGAACGCTTATCAGACGATTTCTCTTCAAATCGAACAACACTTGGCGTTACTAATCGGAGCGCAGATATGTATCTTAAAATATTATTAACTAATACGAAACGAGGACGCGCGATTCAATGTTCTCCTCTCTGTTGAGAACGAGATGATATCTCTCTCGTTCGCGCGGCGACCTATCCGCGATAATCCATGTAAAATATGCGCAGAACACACGCAATCCTTTGACCTCACGCGTATATATCGCGATTTCCAATTGGAATCGGGCTTTCGATTTGTGTCACGGCGAGAGAGATAGCGGCGCGCTTGTACACATTACGGATTTCTCTTTCTTTTTTATTGCGCCTCTTTTCTTCTTCTTACCTCGTGCTCGACCCCGTCCTCGGAAACCGGCGTCCCATCTGAAACAAAGAACGAATCGTCGTGAGGAAGATTGCCGTCGTATTGTGGTTGGGTACGCGAAATATCTGGTTAAGAATATCGCCGATATATTTACGACCCGGATCGGGCCTCGAGAGAGCCGAGGTATCTTATTTTTCCGGCGACGGAACACGCGAAAACAAGCCGCGACGTTCGGTGTATCGTTCGGTGTATATCGAGAACTCGACGAAATATGATTGCAAGTTCACGTTAACGACACCCTCGAGCGAGAGCGTGCGCGTAGATCATCAAACCGGTCGCATGCATCATTTGCGTACAACGGCGATTAATACTTACCGGTATTGTATCGCGATTTCCAAGAAGCTCTTCGTGGAACACCTTGGAAAAAAAAACCTCCCACGTAGATTTATCCTGACGTATTGGCAGAGACATCGCGAGAATTGCCGCAAGACGGATAATTTACGCTCTCGTTTATCATCGAATTAAGAGACAAATTTGCGCATGTTTTNTTTTTTTTTTTTTTTTTTTCTCGGACAAATGATAAACCGTGCGCAACACGATATCTGAATTAACGACAATTCCCGAGTTATTTTTATAACAGCTCGCACATACTAATCTCCCGTCGTAAAGTATCGACTTTCACGAGTACGCGAAGATGCAAAAAGACCGTTACGCTCTTCTCTGGAATGCGAATCTGGAATTTAACGACTGTTTTGTCCGCCAAACCGGCCGCGCTCTCTTGTGCGCGTTCGTCCTCGAAAACAAATTCAATCGCGTGGGTTCGCCGCTTTTTACGAACGTTGAAAATTGAACCACCCACGCGCGCTTTTCGCGAATTACAAACCGGACGCTGTGCGAAAACACTCGTTTAAAAACGAACAGGACGCGTTTTCTTGGAAAAACGCGTATGTACATAACAAAAACAACTCGGGACAAAAATAAATCGCCCATTGCGCCTAGTCGTCGGATCGTTATTAATTAATCCGCGGACTTCCTTAATTAGTTCGAGCCCACCCGACGGATCGATCTTACATGCCGGGTTTTCCTTCATCATCCGCACGAGAGAGAAAGTCAATTACGTCGATGACAAGTCGACTTACCGTATGCGTCTCTAGAGATTCTTATATACGCGAATGTCCGTCGAATGAAGTTAAGATCTTTGGTGCACCTTCGTTCTCCCTCGGCGCCGCTTGTCAACCGATTCGAGACACGCGGCGCTCCTTCCGACAATTTTTTTTTTTTTTTTTTTTTTTCGTTCAACGCGATCGGCACGAATCTCGCGGTAGCGCGCGTTACAAGCGAATTACATCGATGTAATCGCTTTTAATGAGAGATATGCAAGGCATTTATGTAACAACACTCCGAATAGATCACGCGGGGACAAGAACACGCGTTCGTAACGCATTTCTGATTAGGTGCGCGAGTGTATATTCCGCTTGCTTACTTTCTTTTTAAATGTCTCGGGGTGTTTGTTCGAAGTCGCGCTCGCAACGCGATCCAATTTTTGAGGGATCGAGAGAAATTAGCCGAATGAACTTGTTAAATCGCGGCCTGTCAACGGTTCACCATCTTACCACGCCAATTACGGCCTCGTCGCGATGTAATGAGGCACCAACCTGCAATTTGTTGATGCGATTCCGCGAGATTGTCGTAATTTATCGCCCTATCATCTCCGACTTACCTTGCACTTGCAATTAGACGGAGCGTTGTGTTTTTCAGCAAATTGAGAGAAATCTATCATTTTGATATAAATCTAATTACAGGTAAGAATATAATTTTCTTGCAATGTTGTACTTGATAAAATAATTAACTGAACAACACACATTCGTATTCACTGTAACATTCATATGTCAATCGCTCAAATAAATATTCAAAATCATTCGATTAATTAAAAATTTACATATTCTTATCCCAGTAAGCAAATATAAATAAATTTCACATATTTGGCTAAAAAATACGATGTTTAATTAATTTTATGATTACACGACCTTTCGATATTTCATTGCGATATTACACAGATGATATTTATCTTTTTTTTATTAATTAAAACAATGTTTACATACGCAGTTTTACATCCACGCTCTGTACGTTAGGGAGCACGTAACGCGCGGAATTGTTTCGCAAGAAACTATAAAACGCGTGGAATTACAAGCGTTTGACAACGTTCGCGTGGAGAGAAAAATATCGTAGCGTCGAGAGGAGCGCGGAACGCAATAGAACGTAAAATTCACTTTCCGCGTCGGCGGTTCTTTTCCGCGACCGAGCATAAAGATGTCAATTAATTAAACGCTAATACGGAGTCCGTGCGTTCAATCGTTCGTGGTTTCATTAGCGACATTTATTATAGCGGTGAAGCGAGTCGGATTCACGGCGAGGAAGCGTTGCACGATGACACGGCCATCGGTCTTCCTTAAACACGCGCGCGACGTACCTTACTTTCTAACGACGACGAACCGCGAGCGCATTCTGCATAATGGAACAATCAAGTCCCCGGGTGATGAAAGAGCACGCGGACTGAATGTTTCGTGCGTAATGTAATTCTTGAGTAACAGTCCGCTCGGCTGTTACTTTTGACAATGCTCGCATAAATTGCGCGGATCCTCCTATATAAAAAAATCCATGTGTAACGCGAAGTGCGCGTTTCGATATCGAATATATATATATATATATATCACATTTATTGTTATCTCTTTTCCGCTTTGCCGATTGATTAGTTGGTTGATCGAATCGAGTCGAGATCGAATCAAATCGGTAAAATCGAAAAAGTAAATAATGACAAAAAAGCGATTTTGACAGTTCGTTGTATGCGTGAAAAAAATTAAAAACATGACTAAAGTAGGGTCATGTGACAAGAGTAGAAAAACAACATGTGACTAAAGAAACGTGACTGTAATTTATATTATATATAACATTAAATAAAATATGTATTATACATATACTTTATTATATATTCATAATAATATACTTTATATTATATTATATATATTATGTACATACTACAGTAAGGTTACTGGCCTCGGCCGCGCGGCCTTGGCGGGGTCATTGACCTCGGCCGCGCGGCCTTGACGGGGTCATTGACCTCGGCCGCGCGGCCTTGGCGGGTTACTGACCTCGGCCGCGCGGCCTTGGCGGGTCACTGACCTCGGCCGCGCGGCCTTGGTGGGGGGGGAGGTCACTGACCTCGGTCGCGCGACCACGGCGGAGTCACTGACCTCAGCCGGATGATCGCGGTGGGGTCTCAGACTTTGGTCACGTGATTACGGTATATATAGATATAGAATATTATATATAATATGTATAATATTCTCTTTTTTACTCTTTGTTACGTGACTTTAGTCACGTGTTGTTTTTCCATTCTCCCTTTTTTCTTTTATTTTTCTAGTTTGATTTTCATGCGTTATTTCTGACATCTCTCATATGGACATCATGTGTATTATATTGTTTGTAAGACGTATATGTTAGCTGTCATTGCGGTGACAGATTAAATTCACTGACACTACACGTTAAAATTGAAGCAATAATAGCGTGCGCGTAGCGCGCGCCTGTGTTATGCTAGTATATTACAAAAAACTCATTATTTCACGTCGGGAGACGCGCGCCGCAGCGCGAAGAATTTTTATTAATTCTCGCCATGAAAGAGCTTATACATATCGTACATGTATACGCAATTAAGCGTCAGTTAACGACTCACGGCCTTTTTTCAATGACGTTCCATATATGCGGATCCGGCGACAATAGAGAGATGACACCAATGTGGGAACGCTTCGCTTCCTCGCGCGTTGGTGTCGTCGCGCTCTCAACATTGTCCCGACGACGCTATTTGCGACACACGACCGGAGATGATGTTTTTTTTTCATCCGTCGCGCGCTCACTTCGCGTGAAAAAAAAAACAAGATGAAAGAAAAAAACAACATTGCGCTATCATCACACCTCGAATGAAAGTTGATACCGGGATCTATGTCGCTTTGTCGATGTACGACGGCGATGATTTTATTTATATATACTCTTCTGCTATACACGAGAGATGTAAGATTGCGCAGTTAAGAAAACATTAACCTCGGGAGTGGAATAAAACGGTTGTCGGGAGCGCCGTTCGCAGCGGGAGCTTAATGTTGTCTTAAAAGTAAGTGTCTCGCGGCATCTGCATCATCGATAATAAAAGATCGCGTAAAAACGATTAGCACGAAAGAGTTACTGGTTTGCAATTCACGCGCTACGACGTTAAAAAGCGGATTTTAAGCGATAATAAGAATCGATAACGAGATAATTGCGCGCGCCCGGCGAAGAAAGTGATTTCATCGCTCCCACCCGTAATTGCCAATTGGCGGGTCTTATTTTTTTTTGTATTACACTCTGGTTGTTTTTCTTGTCAAAATAAATTGCAATGCTGATGATAACAGTTGAATAATGGCGTACTAAAAATTATTTGGAAATTTTTATTTATGTAAAACGCGAATTTTTATCGAAAAAAAAAAAAAAAGAAACTTACGATAAAACATGTGTTGTACAGAATTTGTAACGCGCGGATATTTCTCTCGTGCAACATTCATGGGAGTGCAACATTCAGTGCGTGCCAAACGAACGGACGACACGCCAATGAAAAAACGAGACATGCGTCTCACCGTGCGCGCACAGCTCGCCCCGTTTCCCATTCCGATCCGACGACTACTTTGAAATTGTAATGGATACGCGAACGACATAATCAAATCGCAAATCAGGTTAGATTCTTGCGGTCGCTCGCGCCGACAAGGAAGTGATTACCATCGACCGAAGTACGACCGCCCCTTTTGTTTCTTTTTCGCCCTGGGTCGCGACGGGGAAAAAAACGTCGGACTATTACGAGAAACGAGAGGAAAATTTTGTGTCGGGTAAATTAAAATCGCGGAGAGCATTGGTTGCTTCCTGCTTTCAAACTTTCCGAAAAATCAACGACCGCCGTGCCGCTGGCTAAGCCAACACGTAACACCGAATACCCCCATAAGGAATGCACACGGACGTTCTCCGTGATTTACCGAGCTTC